TGCCAGTTCCCATGTCCCAGCTCCAGCAGCACAACACCCTCCGAGGAGCTGGGGATGTGCTGGCCATGGGAGGTGCCATCCTTTCCCTTGCAGTGTGGATGGGTGCTCTGGGGGAGGATGGATGCTGGGGCAGGGCAGGGAGACAAGGGTKAGGAGGAAGAACAGAGCAGCTGGAGCTCTCTTTCTCCATGGCTTTTCCCAGGCATTTGACTTCCAAAAAACCCCAGCAAACCCAACTATTTGATGACGATGATGATTTTTAAAGAGCCAGCACAGAAGGACGTGCCGGGCTTTGCCGGCTTTGCTTTGGCAGCGGAGTGCCGGTGAGTGCAAAACCTGACCCAGGGTCAATATTGACTTTCTGCTGAGGCAACTGGCAGGGCTCATGGGCTGGAGGCGTTTGGGTGCTCCAGCTGCACCCTGCCTGCACCCTACCAGCACCTCAGCAGGTTTTTCCCGGTGCCAAGAGCGATTTCCTAAGGATGGAAAAATGCTGCTGGAAATAACATCCACCCAGAGCATCTCAGAGCAGACTCACCCCGAGGGTGTGCAGGATGCTGATTCCCTGGGGATGCTGCAAGAGCAGGAGCTCCCCACCCTCAGGAAGGATATTCTGGAGGGGGAACAAGGGRCAGAGATCTGCCTGAGCCTGGGCACATCCCAGAGCTGGAATTCTCTCTGATGTTGGCTGTGTTGTCTCCTCATCAGCCAAATTTTGCTGCCTTTATTAAAGGGGCTGTGCTTGCCAGGATGGCAAACACGATGTGCTTGCACAGGGGGCAGCAGGAAACAGGTCAGGGCTTTCCCTGCCACCCTCATTCCCACCGGTGAAGAAAACCTCGGCTTCCCCAGCCACGTGCCCAGCAGCCACATGGTGCTGCCCAGCAGAGCGAGGGACAAGGGGACAATACTTCCCTCACTGCCACTCCTACAGGAGCTCGATTTGGGATGGCTGGGATGGCCCTGGAGAGGCTCCCAGACCCCACACCTGCTCCTTCTCCTCGGGGAAGCACAGCAGTGGTCTGGAGAGAGGCTGCAGCCCCGCGAGCACAGCAGGTCCGGTTGTAAATTACTCCCAGTTAGGGAATTTGTCTGACCCATATCGGTGGAGTTTTTCTGGAGCCATCCCATGGCCTCAGAGATGCAGTGGATTTGGGGGATAAGATCCCCTGCAGCAGGGATGGAAGGCTTTCAGCTATTTTTTCCTATTTTTTCAGGCACATGTTCTCATCTTGTCCCTTTTTACGCCCGATCCCTTCTCCCAGGGCTTTTGCCAGCTGCAGGCTGGGCTCTCTACCGGCCACATTCCTTCAGGTTGACGTGGCTTTTCTTTCCTCCCTCATCCTTATCACGCTGGAGTTCATGAATCATATTTCTCCAAAACCATAAACCACCCAAACACCCCAYGTAAATTGAGCGAGACAGAGCAGAGCCGGGCCCAGGGGCTCAGCTCTCCTGGGGAAAAGGCTCTTTCAGCCATCCCAGGAGCCATGGAGGAATAAACCCCCTTTATAAATCTTTTATYGCTGTGCTTGGCCCTCCCCCAGTTTGTCTTGGCGTTGGGAAGCCGGTGCTGCCTGTCCTGGCATGCTCACCCAGCGCTGGAAGCAGGATGTGGGGGGATTTTCTGGATAATCCTACAAACAGGGGGCATGAAGGGTTCCTGGGTTGCTCACCCCTCCACAGCTGGCAGTGGCCATCGATGGCTTGCCAGGGGCTGAATGCCATGGGACTGGGAACTGGGAGCACACCAGGCACTCTGATTTTARACTGAGGGGTCTTTGCAATCACACAGGATGGAGCCTGATTTTAAGCCTGATTTTAGGAGTCTCGGTGCAGAGCCCATTTCCCTTTAGGATCCCCAGAGCCTGTGGTCAGGAGCATATTCATTTCATCTTTGCTGTGATGACTAAAGTGACCTTTATTCCTCATCTCCCTGGACAGCACAAAGGTTTTTTGGTCATTCCATCCCCTTCATCCCGTTTTCCCCAGAGGGTCAGAAAAGTGAGGTACAACACCAAAGCCAGCATTCCCAGAGAAAAATCCCTGTCTCCACCTAAAGGACAACATGCGATCCCTTTAATAAACCCGCAGACAGGCTGACACATAGCAGAGAAAAATAAAACCCCAGAATGGGTGAGACCTAGMAGGGAACTGCCCCATGGGATTATTTCAGTCCCCTGTGCATCTCTGAGCATCCCARCTGCAGGGAATTCAAGCCTCTAATTAAGTCAATTGCTCCTGGAAACAAAATTTCAAGCACTCAGGGAGGCAGGTGGCCAGGGAAGGACACTGCACCTGCAAGTTTTAATTGGGAGGCTGCCCCACTGAAGCCAAGCTATCGGTGCTGCTGGTGCCAAGGAGTCTGTGCCCAGCTGTGCTGCGTCTTTTGGCACCACCTTATCACCAGCCAGGGTGATTCAGCTGCCTCCCAATATTTCCCAAGTCAGGAGGACTGGTGAGACAAAAAAATTAAGAAGCAATGGAAAGAAAAGCAAAACATGAGGGTAGATCTGCCCTCCATTGCTTTGGCTCATCTCCCTTTTTCACAAAACAACCCTGTTACTGCAATCTTACAGGAAGATTTGTGTCTCATGGTGCTGTTTTGAGTCCTGCCAGGATGAGGCAAGGAAAAAACCTCTGAACACCCCCAATTGTCACTGGCCACCACCGATCTGTCACCCCGTGGCCCTCCCCGGCCTGTCCCAGCGCCCAGCTCGGATGTGGTCGGGGAGCAAAGCCACATCCTGCCACCTCACGTGCTTTGGGGATCCCGAGTGGGCGGTGTCCCCGCTGCCAGGGGGGGCAGGTGCCAAATCCGGAGCCCTGGGGTGCAAAGCCACTGCACTGGGTGCACCATGGAGGCACCGCTGCTCAAAGTCCAAATATGGGGAGGTTTTTTCACTTTTTTACGTTTTTTTTTTCCCTGCTGCAGGCTCCCAGGATGGAGAGGCACATGAGATGACACAATTCCCATCCCAAGTCATATCTAGGGAGCCAACCTCTGATCAAAGCCAGATCAAAGCAGCATCATGGCATCTCCATCCTCCTCCAGTGCCCCCCGAATCCAAGCAGCAAAGGGATCCCAGAGTTTGGGATTGGGGGAGCTCCTGGAGACACAGGATGAGAGGCACATCCAAGCCCAGGAGAGGAGGTGAGCTGCTGCCTTCRCTGAGCTTTTGTCCCAGCTCTTTATCACTCCCAAGCCATGCTGAGAGAAACGTTTTAAGCAGGATGAATGAAATTGCAACGCAGCAGGATTCGTGGCGATGYTGCCGCGGTCATCCGAGAGTTTCATGGGAAAGTGAAACAAAAAATCAGCGTGTGGCTTAAAAAGAAGAGCTGAAGGAAAATAAAAAAGCTCATGGGAAGTGTCTCAGGGCTCCCCTGTGAACCTGAGTCACACACAGAGCTGTGAGGGATGGAGGTGAAAGCCTGAATGCTGTGAGGGATCCAACCCTCAGCATCTCCTGTGGTTCTCACTGCTAAGGAAAGCCTAGCAATGCCAATACCCGAGCTGGCACAGAGCCCTGCTTTGGAATCGGGTCTTTCATCAACCCCCCAAGCCTGATCCTAGGAAAACACTGTCCCAAAGTCACCTCCTAAGGCAGACAGGGCTTTCCCCAGCTCCATTCCTGCTCCTTTCCCCCATGGAGCAGCTCCTACCCTAAGGCTGCTGCACCTCCCTGGCCATGGGTGGGGACCTGTGCCAGTGCCAGGCTGGAAGCTGCTCCTGACTCCAGGGAGGAACTTAACTGTTTCTTCTATTTGCCCTAAAGGAAAGGTGGTTTGAGCACGGGTTTATCCCAGTCTGGAATGCTATCACAAYCTGCTTCCAATTAAAAAATCACAGCAATGACACAGAGGATCATTTGTCAACATTTCTGGAGCAGCTTAAGGCAGCAAAGCAGGCTTTGAAGAGAGGAAGGCTCTTATCAGGGASGGATGGTGTTTTGTCCTGGGATGGGAGAGCTCTGTTGGATTTTCTGRTCAGGGACCAGGAGGGATAAACAACTCCAGCCACACGAGAGACCCGAGAGACCCGTGGCAGAGCCCCAAGGACGAGTGTCAGCTCTAACAGCCAAAACACACATTTCTCTGGGAGCAGGAGAAACATTCACCATCAAAACAAACCAGGAACCATCCCTTCCACTGCCAATGAGCTTAAGGTAAGGTCCTGTGCGAGGCTGAGAGCCTTCACCATGTAAGAATGCAAGCAAATGATGCAGGTCCCTCCATAAATCCTGGCAAAATGCAAAGGTCACAGCCACAACACCACTGTGTGAGCCCCAGCCTCTGCTCACACCAAGATCCCTCTCAGCAGCTTTGACTCCCTGGATCTGTGTCAGTGGCAGAGCCAAAATGGGGAAAGTTCAGAGGTTTTGTTTGTGTGGGATGGGCAAGTCAAGCAAACGTAACCCGGTGACCTCTTCCCTCGTGCACAGCAGGCTGGAGGTTTCCCCCATGGGCAGGACGCACATGCTGTACCCAAGGCCTTAAATTTGTTTGGGTTTAGTCAAAAAAGAATTCTGTGGGTCAGCAGTGCTCTGCTAAAGCAGCATGTTCCACAGCTCCCACTCCCCTCAGGAGTCAGATCGTGTTCCCCAGGAAAGGCTGGACTGGGGGAGCCTGGTCTGGCCCRCAAGGGCACAGGATTTCCCAATTTATTCATTCCTGGCAGTTAGTTTTCAAGCTGAAAAGGTCATCAAAGGGGAATTTTGACTTCATTCCCTTGGGAAACACCCCCACCCTTGGCTTTCCATGAGGGCCCAGCCTGTTCATTTCCTGACTGGGACACCCAGATGGGCAGGAGGCACTTGGGAAGGAGGYTGGTATTTGCATCCCACTCCAGACAACAGCTACAGAAGGGAAAAAGGACTGGAGAGCTCCTTYCAGGCAATTTTCTCTCTGTATCAGATAAAAAACCATAAGCAGACACAACAACTTAGCCAAGATATTGGGTGGGAACACCTCCCAAAGCAGTTACAAAAGACAATTCCTCTGGGGCAGGATTAAAAACTCTTCTTTATTAAGTCCTCGGACAGAAAACATTTTTGACAGTGACTCCTGCTGGGAAYGTGCAGCCAGCACAGCTTTGAACAGCAGGAATGGTCCAGAAGACACTTGCTGGAAGGAGCTGGAAATGCCCCATCACCAGAGATTTCAGGGTTTTTTTCTCTCTAGAACCACTGGAGCTCAACACCTTCTTCTGTATCCCACCCTGAACGGAGCACGTGTGAAGCACTGAGGGCTGAGCAGCCTTGGGAACGTTACTCCCTCCCTGCAAGATACCACAGGGTTTTCCACACAAAAGCAGCACATTCTTGGCTCTGGTTTTGCAAAGTCTGTGGTGAGGTACCACATTTCAGTTTGRCACCAGCTGGAAGACAACCGTTGGCTCATTCTGTTGAAGATTTCAGGTATGATTTAAAGGTATGCATGCCATGGGTAYCAGGGCAGCCCAGCCTGGCTTCCTGCTGGGTTTATCTCCAAACCATCAGGAAGGCACAAAACCACCATTTACATGCCAAAAACATCAGCTCTGCCTTGGCATATCCCGTTCTTCAAGGATCCTTTTAACTCTTTCCACGATGGTCCAMACTTCTGCCATGGCACCTCGGCCTGCAGGGCGAGAGCAAAACCACTTTGTGAAATCCGGGGTGAGRGCAAAACTGTCCCAAAAAAATGTGTCTGGAGCAAAATTCCCTATTTCACCTCATTTCTGCAGGGTAAACATGTTTTTTTAGTATATTTTTTTATATCCATATATCATTCCCATGACCTTCATTAAAGRAAGCTGTCCTGGATTCCCACCAGCCCGAATTTTGGGAGCAACTCTTGGAGAAAGCCAAGTGCTGGACAGAACAAAATGGAAAGGCTTTTCCTCTCAGCCTGGCTATCAGCCAGATGAACATCTCATCTACACTGTGTTGCTGCTTCCCTTTGAAATAGTTTTTAAATTCAGGTTCAGAATTTTAAAGGCAGAGATGATTAAAWCGCCTTGTGTGCTGAACTCAGCACTGGAAAMTGAGGACATTCACTCTTCTAATTTSCTTGGAGCTGAGGAAAGATGCTTCTCCCACAGGCATTTGTCTCCTTGGGAAGATTCTCTTGATATTTTGTCCTGCTTGCTAATAGCTCTCATAATCTAAAATACCTGCCTTATTGCTCAGCAGAAATTAGTTCTGGGAGGCATTGTTTTCTTTTTTTTTTCAGATCTGTAAATCTCAGAAGGTTTGGAGCATCCTGTGGACAACCTGCAGGCAGATTTGAACCCTTCATCTCTCCTAACTTCAGAGAGAAGGGCTGCACCTGACAAGAGATATTCCCTGACTGCCTCTGCATGGTTTGACAGAGCTACGCCCTTCTAGAACACTTCCAAAGCCTGCCCTCTTCCTCCACCACTCAATTCTTCAGCACCTCTTGCAATTCACAGCTGGATTTTTAGATTTAGCAAAGAAAACTCTCAGARGTGCCTACAGGTGGAAATCTCCCAGTGTGCCAGGCTCTAGAAATCCAGACAAGCAGAATGAAGATAATGGCAGTATGGAAACTACCCAAGCAAGGAACTCAATTTGTTATTCTAACTCTTTTTTAACTGGACTTKGTCTAAACCCACCCATTTACTAAGRTAYTAGTATTATTAACCAGGTAAAACTTGATGGCAGCGAGGATCTGCTGCATTTTAGGTAAGACCCAACCACACGGGGGTGAGGAAGAGAAACCTCCTAGAGAAAAACAAACCACAAAGTCAACAGACAAAACTGGKGCAAACGGAACGTCTCCTGCACCAGATGTGTGACCTTTTGCTACATGCAGCCTGTATGGAAACCAGGGAAACCCCGGCGTGGATGAAAGCCACAAAACCAAAACGAGCCTGGAAGAAGCTATGGGGTGAAAAGGCCTGAGAAAAGGGGAAGGGGTGAAAACAAACCCGTTGTGGAGACTGGGTCTTCAGAGAGATGGAATACATTAGTGTCCTGCCATAATCTCTCTACAAACTGCCAAGAAAATCCTGGTGTTTGCTAACAGGAAAATCTTGTTGTGAATTGACTCACAAGCACAAGTGGAGTCAAGTGAGATGAGGCTACTCCTGCCATCCCTCCATCCCTCTCCTCCAAGCTTCTTCAAGATTTTGGTCTCAYAGCTGAGACAGCTGAGCTGGATATGAAGAAATTTGATGTAATCATGTGTAAAATCCCAGTGGAAAAATAATCATCCCAGATATTTCAACTGATGCCTGAGTTACTTGACTACACTTACCTAATTGTAAATATTTCTCAGTTTTCAGCTCCAAAAATACAAATTTTAGAGGCATTGCACCTACCCAAGGATTCCAAAACTAAGCCAGGTCTAGAGTTGAACTACGAAGGATATTTTAACATCCTGACTTTGCTACAGATTGCTTATTGAAGTGACAGGGTGGTTACAATCCTGCTGGAGTTGTTACACAAAAATAGCTGCTATGGCTGGAACTGGGAGTAATTTTACAAAGATTTGCCCAATAAAATTTTAATAAAAATGCAAATCCATTCATCCAAATGGCTTGTATCAAAACCCTTCCCAAAAGTCAAAACACCACCATTAAAAGCAGCTCCTAAAACTCAAATGAGACCATTATTTCTTAGCACTGCAAGCTCAGTGTATTGAATCTGAACTTCCTCCACGCCCTTCTTTCACTTCACATAACTTTGGTGTCAAAACACCAAATCAAAACTTGTTTGGGAAGCTAAAAAGTAACCCAGGCAACAACAACAAATGTTACATATGTGTCCAGCTACACCCCCAGCCACATCTGCAAAGGGCTTTTCTCACTGTCTGTTCTCAGGGACAAGATTTCATCCCAATGACGGAGTTGASGAACTGAGGGAAGATGAAAACAGCCCCCAGTCCTAGCAGAGGGCTAAGTCAGGACACCTAAATCCCAGGCTGATAACACTCACCACAGAACCTTCCCTCTCTTTGATCTCTCTCTCCCTGAATGAGCATTTCTGTTCAATAACAGGCTCCTCTGAAAGCTCTTAAGACTACTTAAAAATTAATGAAGATAATACAGGGCAAAGCTTCAGCTTGTTTGGCAGTTCGACATCTCCAYGGCCACACAGCAAAAGGCAGCACATCCCTGCAGGATGAGGGCAGGGAAAGGGACAGGAGCCACAGGAAAGGACTGACCTTCATCCCCACACACGAGTTTCTTCACCACACAGGGGATCTCGCTGTAGCCAAAGCCCTTGAGCTGCTCCACCTGCCGAGCTGTGATGGGATGCTCCCACATGGCCGTGTTCATGGCCGGGCAGAAGAGCAGGGGTTTGCTCAGGTCCCACGCGCGGATCACACAGGTCTGCRGGAGAAGCCAAGAGAGGGCTCAGATTTCCTCGTTCCTTCCCATCCCTTTGCCCATAGAAGTGCCTTTCCAGCCTGGGTGTCATTTCAAAGCCTCAATCTGTCAGTGCAGCTGGACTAACCCATGGGCTGAGACTCATTTGTGTCACTAATTCCAGCCAAGCTYGTCTCTGACAGGCAGGAAAGATGGGGGAGGCATCATCAGGACAGAGGATAAATCCCACCCTGCTCCAGGCTGGAGCAAACCAAGCTGGAACAGGACAGACTGTGTGGGAGACAGAGAAGCTGAGAGGTGGCCACTTATCAGCTGCAGAGAAATCCCTGGGGCAAAGCTTCAGATAAGCCAGCTGCGAAGCTAAACAYTGGAAGTTGGCCATGAGCCCTCCTGCAATGATTTGGAGACTATGGATGCCAATTTGCAGAATTTGGATGCCAACTGGATGCAGAACTCCCCACAAGGGAAGCACTGCTGCTTCCAGGATACAAGCAGAGGGAAACACGAGCACATCTGGGCTGCAGCAGGAGATGCTGGCAGATTACAAACYACCTGGCAGTTCCTGTGTGCCACAGGGAATCAAATCTGACTCCTCAGCGTTTCCAGATAACACCTCATCCCCGTGGAAAGAGAAATGCTGGTTGATCTCAGTGCAAGTGATCAGGTTCTTCAGGCCTTGCAGCATTTAAGTCAAACAAAGGAGTTTCCAAGGAGCAGCTCAGATTGCGGAGTCCTTACAGGAACTCTGTCCCATCCTTTTTTATAATCTGTGACTTGAACCCCTCCCAGCACAAGCAAATCGGCTGGAGTCCATTCTCAACTGCCAACCAGCACCTCCAGCATTCACTTTCCTTTCCTGGAGCTGCCTCTTCCCTTCACAAGGCTCTCTAAAAAGACTGCCAGGAGTGTGTGAAGCCATGCATCCCTGACATCCTTCCTGAGCTCTTCTCTCTGCTAAACCAACGCACCTACAAGGGACATAGAAGGACAACACTTTCCTTGTGCCTCCCACACCTCTTTCTGGCTTCTCTCAGATCCCCAGTGATCTGCTCTGGGTGGATTTTGTTCATTTGTAGGAGCTTCATAGCGAAAGGCTGTAGGTCATGTAGATCTGCAGCTTCCTGATACCTTTTGTGTGGTTGTTGTCAGGCCACAAAACATTCAGCCCTGCTGAAGGTCCCCAGCACCCAAGGAAGTAGCACGCTCTCTTTTAATACACTTTCTGATTAGCCTGAAGAGCCTCAAGAGCACTTTAAATACCAAAAAAACCAAGCCTGAACAAGCAAAATACCCTGTAGCTGAGACTGRGAGGTAAGAGGGCATGTAAGTCTGAGCTGTGTTACGTGAGAGAGGTGGTGAAGTAGCAGGAAGTAAACAGTTTTATCTGATCTCACAGGTGTCTTTCCAGATTGCATTGAAAAAACATAGAACTCAAAAGAGAGTGACTGTGTGTTTGTGTGTACGAATGACAGAGAGGGTGGAGGCAGAAAGAAATGCCACCCGTCAGAAAAAGCAGAGAAAACACAAAACAAGGACTGGGAAATAAGAGACTGACAGAGYTGAGGAGTGGGAAGGGACATAGGTCAGGGAAGAAAAGCAAAGACCAGGGGGAAGAGAAAATGAGCAGATGAAGTGGCAGCAGGTCATGCAAATCTCACTGCTGGTGATGCTGCAGAAGCACGAGTCTTCATGAAGGCAAGACCAGGCAGCACTGAGGGATGGCAGCAGAGGCAGGCAGAGCTCACTTACTCACCAGCAGGTTGTCACAAATGCCATTGGCAACCTTTGCCAGCGTGTTGGCATCCAGAGGTGCCACCACCATGAGGTCAGCCCAGCGCCGGAGCTCGATGTGCAGGACGGGGTCCGAGCGGCCCTTCCAMAGCTGCGGGGGAGACAAGGTGGGCAGCACAAACCCACACACCTCAGCAATCCCACCTCAGAAAACAATTCCCATGTTTCCAGGGCACAGGTAAGGCATGGCAGCAGATCAGGAGATGGGGCCCCCACAAAGACAATTCACACATCTGACAACCACAGGTTTCAACTCAGAGAAATATCTGTCCCCATCCACAGCATCCCTTACCTTTGGAGTTACTCCTAAGAGCTCCATCCTACAGCCAGCTGAAGCCAGGCAGGCCCAAAACAGTGGCACATTTCCTGAGGAACCGAGTGATTTACAAGCTTGAAATTGAAATGAAGCTGCCCACTGGTTTCTCACAAGTTACAGACCCCTAACTGAACAAGTCACTTTTAATTAGGATGCACAACCCTACTCATAGCAGCAAAGGAAACCCTCCCAAGCACTGCAGGGAGCAGTGTCCTGTTGGCTTTCTCCAGGATGAATGAGGCTTCGCCAGCTGAGCACTTCCTTCCTCTCTTGGCTCGTAGAATCACAGAATGGTTTGGGCTGGGAAGGTCCTTAAAGCTCACCTTATTCCACCCCCTCCCAAGGGCAGAGACACCAYATTCTAAGGTCCATTCAGCCTAGCCTTGAACACTTCCAGGAATGGGGCAGCCACAGCTTCTCCTTGACGTATTCACTCTTGAGTGAATATTTCTGTTGTCTCTAAAGCCCTGAATTGCTCAAGAGAACCCTGCTGGTCTAAAGAGCTCAGTTAACCAGGAAAGAGTCCTGAGAAGCAGCAAACTGCATCARGTGCTTATTCCCCAGAGGACACCCAGCCACAGACCAGCACAGGGTGCATCAGGGCCACAAACTGCTCCTTCTCTGAGTCACGGGAAGCCACAATAAAAAGGCAGCATCCGGAAAGCCCGGGCTTCCTGAACACCTTTCCCACCTCCTCCACAAAGTTCTGTTTTTTCTTGTAGTTCTATTGCCAGGGTGAARTATCTCATGAAGACAGGCTGTCGCAGCGAGTCCAGAGGAGGCCATCAGAGGGATGGAACACCTCTCCTGTGAGGAAAGGCTGAGAGAATTTGGATTGTKCAGCCTGGAGAAGAGAAGGCTTAAGGATGACCCAATTGTATCCTTGCAGTGCCTGAAGGAGCCAGCAAGATGGAGGGGGACTATTTACAAGGGCCTGGAGTGACAGGACAAAGCGGGGATGGCTCTCAACTGACCAAAGGCACAGTGAGATGAGATTTTGGAAGAAATTCTTCCCTGTGAGGGAAGGAAATAAATTCTTCCTTCCTGCCCAGAGAAGCTGTGGCTGCCCCATCCCTGGAAGTGTCCAAGACCAGGATGGAGCACCCTGGAATAGTGGGAAGTGTCCCTGCCCATGGCAGGGGATAGAACTGGATGAGCTTTAAGGTGCCTTCCCACCCAAACCATTCTGTGATCGTTTCCCACCACAAGGGCTCAGTGTCTGCTCTCCAGTGTGCCAGCACAAATCAAAGCCTGACCTGCACCCCTTCTATCACCCAACTGGGGGCTCCTCAGAAACAACTGTAGCATCCTGGGATCCAGTAGGTCTCCACCAATCCCTAAGGCCAGCCAGAAAGTTTTCTGGCTGCTGCCACTGACATGTTTCATCCACTTCAAAGTGATACTCATGTGTGAGGGCACTGGCAGGAGCCGGGGTAAAGAGAGATCACCTTGTGCTCAGATCTGTATTGCAAAGCAGGGACGAAATGTATGGAAAAACGAATCTTGATGCTTATACAACAAACCTCTTCATACTCAAGGACTCTCAAACTGTGCCAGTAAAACTGCAGGCAGCAGAAAAAGCCATTTCACGGGGTGCAGAGATGTTCCCAGYCCTGACAGCTGAGCTAGGGAGAATGAAGCTGCTGCCTGCGTGACAAGAATGACTCATGACAAGCACCAAACATGCTCATCGTAGCTCTGCAGTGGCTGTTTGACATTTCCTGACACTTCTCACAGAGCCCTGAGCCTAAGGTGGGGAGAGAACACTGCCACCCTCCCTGCCCACTGCAGGCGAAAATCCTCCAATCCATCAGGGCAGCCTCTCTCTCCCTCCTCAATCACAGCAYGTTCTTCAAAAGCCACATTCCAAACATACGTTACTAGACCAAGGAGGGAGTTTTGGCTCAGGTTTAAAAAGGAACTCAGTGTGGTTTCTTGCAAGGAAAACTTCGAGGAATGCTTCTATTTGCAAGAACAACTCACCTGCCACTCCTCTTCGTCACCATAGAGGGTCACAGGAATCTCCTGGGCATTGAAGAAATGTTTTGCTCTCTCAGTAGTGACCACCTGTACCTCAAGCTAAGCAGAAAGGAAAATACCACTGGTTAGACTTGAGGACAATTCTGAAAGTTTTGTGGCTTCTCGGGGGGCCTCCCCTCTTCACAGCTGCCTCCACAGGAGCCAGAGACTCATTTCATGTCAAACTAAAGYAGGCAGGTCCTCACCTGCCAAGCAAAGGGGAAAACCTCTGTAAGTATTTTCATRGCACAGGGCTTCTGTGCAGCAAACCAATGGTTTCCACAAAGAGAGACTGAGTGAAAGAAAGGACTGAGGGCTCTCTCTGAAATCTTAGATAAACCTGCAGAGTGACTGGAATCTTCATTTATTGGTTTCCATTGGAGAAACTCTATCCTATCCCTCAGATATTTATCTGCCATACACACTTACAAAAGGTGCTAAGGTGAATCTTTCATTTCCTCCTGCAGAAATTTGCACAAGTGGTAAAAGGGGGGTTTTCCCTCATTTCTGTGTCCTGTAGCTCTGATAAATGGTGCCTGCTCCAGTAACCAGCTCCTGCCACAGGCAGTGAACCAGAGGTGCCCTGCACATACCAGGATCAGGCAGTGTCCAAGTGGTCCTGCATGCCCCGACTGCCCACGCAGGATGTGGAACTGAATTTCCAGCTGTAACTCCTCCCAAGCACGTTCCTTAAACCAGTCAACAGGCAGGCTACTGCATGGATGGAGCACTCTGAACACTGCYAATGAGGAAGATGAACCTCAGGCTGCTGATGACAGTGAAAAATATTCCTATTCCATGGTATTGGGCACGGCCTGCTCCTTCCAGCAGCTCACAGAACCCACCATACAGTTCTGCTGATTYGACAGTGAGATGGGGAGAAACCAGCCCCAACAACAGCTCCTTCCTGCTGGAACACTTGTGCCTTGAGGTGGAAAACTGATGAGGCACTCGATGCGGGCACTCCTTGCCACAACCAACTGCTGGAAACCTCCAAGCTCTAAGAAGGTGTCTGCAACAGCAGTATTGATGTGACAGTACATTAACCCAGCTCTCAACACCACTTACTCCACTGGGAATGGGGCAGTGCTGCTTCCTTGCATCCTACTGTGACTGGAATAACAGCTGGGAGCAGTGGAAAATCCCAGCCTCAGCATAMTGTGGTCACTGGTAATTTTCCCTGTTTTCTGAAGGAAAAGTCACGGGATAATACAGCAGCAGAAGACAAATTTTTGGTACTTTAGGTTTGCTTTTTTGTCTCCTAAATGTCTGTTCTGCAAGTGCCCCTGACTTGGAATCACAGGTGTTTGCAGTGTTTCTGAGTGTGAAGATCACACTCACAGGCATGAACTGACTCTATTATTTCCACGCTAATCTCACCCCTGAGGAAGCTGCTCGAGCCCAGCAGCGACACCCACAAAGGCGTTATCACCGCTCCGCTGCGCCGCAGGCCTTGGGTGAGGTGCTAACCTCAGCCTCCAAGACAAYATTTATTTGGAGGGTTTAAAGAGCACTGTGCAGTTCGAAGGAGGATGTCTGCTCTCTGAGATGGTACCATTTGAAAAAAAAAATTATTTCTTCCAAGCATAAGRCCAGGACTAGAGAAGAGCTCTGGCTATTCAGCACTGAATCCAACCATTCCAGATCAGAACATTCCAGAGGGATGGTCAAGGAGACTGAGTGGTGAAATCCCACCAGCCCCCAAGAAAGTTGTTCTGTGAGTTAAATATTCTCCCCAATAAGGTTTTCTGCTGGGGTGGGCTCCTGGTTCCCTCGTTCTCAAGTCCTTCAAGTCCCTTCGGCTACACTGCAAAGAGATCAGTGTCCTCAAGATCACTTCAGCCTACACAGTTTATTCTTTCTRTTTTCCTGGCACACCCTGTGTTTGCCTGTGGGTATCTTAAACAGCAARGGCAGTCTGGCCACACTCAAACTCCCTCACTGGAGACAGTTTAGATTAGTTAGAGGTCTTTAGCTTAAGCCAAATATCCAAAACAAACTTTACCACAAACTGCTCTCCTGTGTTCAGGCAACACTGTTGGTCCCTGATAGAGGATCCTCCTGGCACAGCCCTTCCTGCTCAGGTTAAGGAGGTGAATGTGATTATTTTTTAATGCTTTGTAGTTCTGAGAGCGAAATTTTTACAGCCAGCCCGAGCACAAGAGAATGAGCAGCTCCTCTGTGAAATGGCACTTACAAGCTGAGGCARGTGCACAAAGAAGTGACAGGGTGATTTAAACCTGAAGTCCAAGTGACATCCTGGAGCTTCAMGAGCAAAACATCTTTCCCACACTAAAGTTTGTCCTCGCCTTTTTATCAGAGGATCACAGACTGATTTGGACTGGAAAGGAAATTAAAGGTGTTTCAGTTCCACTCCTGCTATGGCAGGGACACCTTCCACTATCCTAGGGTGCTCCAAGACCCGCCTTGGACATTTCCAGGTATGGGGCAGCCACAGCTGCTCTGGGCAAACTCTGCCAGGGCCTCAGCACCCTCACAGGGAAGAATTTATTCCCAATATCCCATCCAACCCTGCCCGCCGGCTATGGGAAACCATTCCCCCTGTTCTGTCACTCCAGGCCGTTGTCCCAAGTCTCTCTCGGGCTCTCTTGGAGCCCCTTTAGGCACTGGAAGAGGCTCTCAGGCTTTCTAAAGTCCATTACTAACCAATATCCTACCARTATGATTTGTGTCCTTGTGTTCCTGCCCAGATATTGAAAAACTCTAAAAATCAGGTGAGTTAGATGATGAGACACAGCTGTCTGCTCCCACACCAGGTGCCAAGGGCAACAACCTGCTGCCATCTGAATTTCCCAGATCCACAAAGGTAAGTTAAGCAAAAGGCAGCAGTGAGCTGCAGTCACATCCACTGGCACCCCCGAGGAGGTGTTAAAGTTTAATGAGCAGCAAAATCACTCTGCCAAGTCATTCACCGCAGATCATTTCAGAAAAAACATCCATTTACACTAACCACTCTGGCTGCAAGCCTGTGACCACATCTCCTCTGGCAYAAAAGCCCTTCCTCTTTTCCTACCCTGTTTGCTTTGTAAAGCTTTGCTCCCAGCAGTAAAGAAATTGATGCAAYAGCTTTGTGCAGGACTCAACAAATCCAATGGGAAAGTTACACTGACTCAGCAGGCCTTGAAATCACAGKAAATCAATAACTTTGATTATTAAATTGTTAAAAACTCCTGGATGTGTCACTTTGKTTTTTTCTGCCCTAAAACCAGGGGCCACAAAGTCTGCAGGGATGTTACTGGATGTTACTCTGGGCCTGTACAGAGAGTCTGAGTCCAGCTGTCTGCAGCTTTTAATTATGAAACAAACACTCAGAAAGAGGGAAAGAGTTTGACCCACATTCCTACCATGGGTCATCTGCATTCTGCCTGTCTCCTGCACACAAGSATGTTCCAAGCTCCAGGAGAAAAAGAAAATGGACAAGAGCCAAGTTAATCCAAGAGGGAGAGGATGAGAAGATCCCTATCTCTGGCTCTGGGTTGGTCACCTCATTCCCTGGTGTCATTTTTCTTTGTCCTTCTTACTTCAGGCTGGGACCTTTSACCTCATTAATCAAGTCAGGTCAAGTCATAAATTAACTGAGGTCTCACTTTGCAACCCATGCCTCATTTCTAGTACTCTCCCCAGCTTGGATATCAAGAGCAACCAGATAAACCAGCACCTCTTCTGCCTCTACTCAATGTACACACAAGGTAAAGCCTCCCAGATTACCCCAAAGGACATTAATGAAGCAACCTAAGCAATAAATCTGCAGATTAAAGTGAACCCTCTTGCCCCTACCAGTCTTTTATTTTCACKGTTACAAAATATTTCCTCAATTTCWAAAACCTGTAAGTTTTCTGTTTAACTTTATTCTGCCACAGAGCACATTTCCCTCCCTGAGCAGGCACCAGTGGCCTCTGCTGGGCACCTCTGTTACTCCAGACAGCAAATAGCAAAAAAATACTACACAGACACATATAGCAGTTTGTGWTTTCTATTTTTGGTTTGACAAGGTCTGTTTTCCCTTTCTGGGTCAGATAACTGCATTTACATTTGCAACATCCACATCCCACTCATGGAAAACTGCAATATCCTGAAGATTTCATATTTCAGAAGCACCACCTCTGTCTGCAACCACATTTGATAACTTGACTGACAAAGACAAATTCTAGAAAAAAAAATATCCAAAGCAAAAACCTTTTCAAGTATGAAATAATAGGGAAAAAAAAATTTAAAGCAGCAGGAATCCTCCTCCCAGAAATTTCTAAACTAAAGGGCCCCCAAGGAGGAACTTTTCATTTCAGTAGAAGCCACATGATCTCTCCTCAAAACCACGGTAACTCCAGCTTTACAACAGCTTCACTCACCCCAGGGATTTTCAGCAATTCTGCAACGAGCAGGGGCAGCTTCAGSGCAGCCACGCTTCCAGTCACTCCCACCAGGACATGGAATTTTTTCTGTGGCACAGATGAGCTGTTTCCTGCAGGAATCCCTGATTCTGGCAGGGAGATGGGCTCCATGCTCCAATCAAACTCTGCAGGCACAGAAAAACACAGACACTGAGCTAACACTGCCTTCAAGCACAGCAGGGCTCCAACCCCACCACATTCTCAAGGGCACAGATCTGATCCTGGACCCAGAATCATCCAGAACACTCATCCCACAAAGCTTTCAAGCACCAGCAGAACTTTAGGGACAGCCTTAAGGGCAGACTTATTTAATTACAATTTTCTCTCAGATACTGGCAAACAGACCCTAAAACTTGAGCAAACAGGCCACAAAAGTGCCCTGGTAAAGGTCGTGCCCTCCAAAATTAAGACTCTCACATGTTGAACATGGTGCAGAATTTAGGACAGATAAATACATTTGGGATAAAATTCTACAYCAAGTTCTGTAAAGATACACAACCCCCTGCTGAGTTGCTTTCCTTTTGAGCTCTCTGGTGATTCATAAATGCASAGAGATGTCTTAATAATTAAAAATGTGGGGCCTCACTGCACGCACAACCATCTTATGTCTTACTCTGTTCCTAAATATTCCAGCAGCACTACAAATCACCAACTGTAATTCAGGTCTCCCACCTCCCCTTGGCTTCCCTGTGCTGCTGCCACACTGATAAAAATCAGAAATTAATGTTTCAGTGAGGAAATYGTTAGAATTAACACAAATACCTCAAATATCATTAATTAATCAAAAAGTAAATACATCTCTTGAGAAAAACACTGCATTCAGTAAAGTTTGTTCCATTTTAATGATGTTGTTATTCAAGCTAAATAGCCTGGAATCACTGTGGTGGAAAGAAGATGGACATGTTTAGGCTGCCCTGATTTTTGTGGAGTTTTGGGGCTGGACAACCCAGAGAGAGGGATTTCACAGGATCACAGAATGGTTTTGGTTGGAAGGGACCTTAAAGATCACCCAGCCCCACCCCTTCCACTGTCCCAGGTTGTTCCAAATCCCATCCAACCCGGCCTTGGACACTTGCAGGGATCCAGGGGCCTCCCTCCCCTTCCTCCCAGGGAAGGATTTCTTCCCAAAATCCCATCTAACCCTCGCATCACTCCAAGGATGATCCAGCAGCAGATTAATTGGGACTCTTCATGGCTGTGCAGCARTCCCATGGAATTCTGACCCCCTCACCCAGCACAAACAGCCCTCCTAACCCTTCACAAACCAGCACCACCTCCTTTTTCCACACTCTGCTCAGAATTGTGTTTAATTCCAACCCCAAAGGTTTCTCAGTGTGTTTATAAAATACCTCRCCAGGATAAAAGGCCAATTTCAGCTCTGCTGATTAGCAAGGGTAATTAAGAAATGAGGAAATGCAGCAGCACATCGACTGGCAGATTTTAATGCTACCACCACAGCTCACATATTTATCCATATCTAATTAAAATCAGAAAATTATTATTACTTATAAATTAAAATTATTATCTACTTAAAGCATCCTTAGGATGTTTCCAAAACTTCCCCTGYGATTCCTAAATGACAATTAATTCTGCCAAAGCATCCACAAATTAAAGCCTGAGGATTAAATCCTAAATTTTTAAGGAGGAAACTTACAAAATGCTTATAAATTATAATGTAATGATAAAAAAAAATTATAGAATTACAGAATTATTATTAAAATGGTAAAGCGGTAAAAAAAATTAAAATTGTACTAATTAAAACATAATGGCAATAACAGCAAAATAGGGGTAAAAATCATAAAATAATGGCAAAGGATAATAATAAAAGCTCCATATATAATAATGTATGTAATAGAACSATTAAAAAAGTGCTGGGCCGCGCTTTCCTCTTACCCAAACGCAGCTGTGGGGAAGCACCCACCAGCAAACACATTAATTAACTGGCCCTTAAGGATTAACTAAATCGACTTTTAATGCGGTAGTGATGCTGACAACGGCTCCAAAGGAGCGTACGATACGACAGCACCGAGAAACCCCAGGGGCTCCCAAAACGTAACAAAGAGCGCTCCAATACCGGTCGAGGCAGGGCCGGGAGGGCCGCGGGCCCCGAGCTTGGGCCGCACGGTCCGTGAGGGAGCGGGGAATGACCCACAGCCGGGCCGGAAACCGGGGGGGTGATGGGAGAGGGTGCGCGCACGGCGCTGATTGGTGCGGGCAGCCCTCACCCACGGCGCTGATTGGTGGGTCTGCTCCCGCCCACGGCGCTGATTGGTGGGTCTGCTCCCGCCCCAGGCGCTGATTGGTGCGCGCCAGCCGCACCCACGGCGCTGATTGGTGCGGGCAGCGTGCGCGCCGGGCGGGAGGAAGGGCTGTCATGGCGGTCCCTCACGGCCCGTCCCTCGGTCATGGCGGTTGCGCTGCCGGCCGGGAGGGTTCTGCGCCCCTCGGTGCCCCAGTCAGGATCTTGCCAAGGGCAGGCGGGTGGCTTCAGGSTGTTCAGGAAGTTGTCTTAAGGGATTTTGGCTCGTGGCAAGGTTTTGGAACGTAACAAAGGGCAACAAAAGTCGGTCTAGAAGGCGTGTGGGAAACGGGGTCGAGGAGAGCATCTGAGGGCCCCTCAAGTGGCAGGRGTGGTAGCTGAGCCAGGAAAGTGCTACAGACCAGGAGTGAAGCCTTTCCTGCAGGAATCAGGGCAGCCACAGAGCTGGTTGGGGAAAGTGGGTTAAAGAAGTCAATGTTTATTGTCTGACGCACAGAGAGGACAACGGGGAGTGGCTTCCCACTGCCAGAGARCAGGGATAGGTGGAAAATTGGGAAAGAATTCCTCGCTGTGAGGGCAGTGAGGCCATGGGACAGATTGCCCAGAGCAGCTGTGGCTGCTCCTGGATCCCTGGAAGTGTCCAAGGSCAGGCTGGGTGGTGTYTGGMGCAGCCTGCAATAGTGGGAGGTGTCACTGCTGGGTGGGTTTGAAGGTCCCTTCCAACCCAAACCATTCCACRATGATGTCGGCACRACAGATCTGGGGCAGCACRTKGTTCCCAGCCCTTCGCAGATACAGCTCAAAAGCAGCAGTTATTTGGACATTTTGGTATCAGCTACAAACAAGCAGCAAGGAAWGCAAGAGGCAGAGAGCTCTGCTTTGCTGACTGCAGGACACAAAGAGCAACAGGGAGACCTCAGGAAAACTCCAGGTGTGTTCTATCCCRAGCTGCCTCTTGCCCAGCAGCAGGAACACCCCACCTCTCCCACCCCGTGGGCTTCAGGAGCACCACGCTTTGATCACAACCACATCAGCCCCACCTGCAACAGGGACAGCTTAAAAATATCCAAGGTGAGAGCAGGGAGGGGCGAGTTTCCCACCTGGTTGGAGCCACAGGGGCAACATTTCAGCGCTCACACACTCAGGAGACACATCGGAGAGGAGCGTTAGGTGCTGAAGCAATGTCTGTTAGTTACAGCTYGTTACAGTTATTATTGATGCATCTTATTGTCAATGCAAAAGGTGAAGTCACTGAATCCATCATTTCTCAGACACGGATGACAGAGCACGTGGTTTGGCAGAGTAAGTTTTAGGCGAGCTAGAAATGGATTGCACAATATTTAAACCTGATTAAGTACATAATAGGCTTAGCAAAGGATTACTTTTCTCCTGACATTTTATACATAAATATATACACACACACACAGACAGGCATTTTATCAGTAGCTGCATTTTAGTCTGGTCAAGAGACGACTGCCTATTGCAGAATGACGGGAGTGATACCCTTAAAAAGGAAACTAGTCTTGGTGTGCTTTGCTGGAGAAGAGAAGGTCCTTTTWGGGGTGATTCTCAGGGGTAGGGGTCACATCCAAGCATCACTGGAGGGCCAGAGGGGACAGATAAGGGGCTGGGGACTCACACAGTCCTGGCTGGTGGCACACCAAGCTCCTTCCCTATGCCAGGCAGGAAGTATTGGAGCCAAGGGGCTGGATTGGATTCTGTTAGGGCTGCTTTTCGAGGACTTGGAGAAAAATTTGGCTTATTTAAAGTGCATTTAGAGTTGAAAAGCATCTCAAAGAAGTAGCTTTCCCTACTCCTGCCCTGCAGCATCCATCCCATTTATGCTCCCACTYATTATCTTTTCCATGGTGTGCCAGTCACCTTCCCCTAGAGGTGTTAGTCTGAGCTCAGCTGCCTCCTTCCTGCTAGGGTTCAGGATCATTATTGAATATCCAACATCCCCAAACTGGGCCTGACAGAGATTCCTGTACCAGGAAAACACACGGCCACATCTCACCACGCTTCTTAACAGCGCAAGTGAGCAGGAGTCCTTCCCTCCAGCCTGGAGGTTTCCCTAAGAGCCTTAAATTAGCACAAACCTCCAAAGCTAACAGGGACAGATCTTGGCCTGGCTATTTCCATGATCAGGGAGACTGCTTGGATGTGCTGGGATAYGGGGTGGCAAGATTTGACCCGCAGCCTTGCCCAAGAGTAGGTCCTCTGAGGAACGCTCTGCCGCTTTTACAGCTGCTTTTCAAAACAGAAGCCTTTAAAAAAAAACAGACTCAGGATGCAGAATCCAGAATGGGATGGTTGTATCCCGCAGGGAAAACCTGTTCTTGCACCCCAACACACACACACACGCACACACACTGGTCCTCCACGTCAAAGTGTAAACTACTCACTTACAACACCACACACTGAGAGAAGTTGTAGATCCTGAGCCAGGGTGTAGATTAGGAATCTCTTGGCTTCCAGCATATCAACAGCAGGATTGAGGGTTTCTTATATTTTTTTTTTCCCTTTTTTTTCTTTTCTTTTTTTTTTTTAAATGCTAAATCAGCCAGCCACCTGCTCATTAAAAAGCAAAAGAAAAAGGAGAATTCCCAGGATTGCTTGCCCTTGCTGAGACAGTGGCAAGTGGCTGGACACTACCAACTGAAAGAGAAAACTCACACACGTCAAAATCCCGTGGTTCAGGGCTTATTCCAAGAGGGAAGATGGGTGCTGGTTACTGTTTTTCCCTTTTTGGGGGTGGGGGGGGCTTTTGGCTGATGAGGTTCTAACATACACCTATCACCACAGTAATTAAAAAACCACCACCGTACACTATTCCACAGGGAAAAAGAAGACACGTGAACAGACACTGACTACCACGCACAACAAGAGCCCTGCAGGTCAACTCACGGCCTCTTCAGAACAAAAAAGAAAGGAGAAAAGAACAGCTCAAGACAAGAAAAAGGAAAAAAAAAACAAAAAGAGAAAGAAAAAAACCCAAAGGATCTCGTTACAAAGACAGGAAAAGAACCACCATTATGGTACACTCCGACTTTCTGAGATAGCTGCAGAAACTCGGCTCAGCCTTCCTCCTCCTCTTCCTCCTCCCTTTCCCCCCCCCAGCTCTTCCTCCCGAGGACAGAGTCCTGCTGCTTCTCACATCTCGTTGGAGTAGGTGTAGTTGGGGGTGGCCGAGTACTGCGTCTCGTGCTGCATCATCGCGCCCTGGGCCGCCCCCATGGCCGCATTCTGGGCTGCCTGCTGCACGTGGGGGTTCTTCCATGCCCCCGTGGTCCACTCCTCCTGCGCTTTGCTGAAGCTGCCACCACTGCCCCGGTAAAACTTGTGCACCTGCAGGGAAAATCCAGAGGGGCTGAGTGCCTGCAGCTGGYGCAGAGTCCCCCGAAACAACATGGCACCCCCGTTACTCCTGCCATACCATGGTGAGAGCAATGAAGGAGAACACTGCCATGGCCGTGAAGAGCACRGTGGGGATCAGCATCACCACAGCTGAGCCCACGTTGGTCCCAAAGAAGGAAATTGCTGCAATCCAGCCACTGCAAGGAGATGGAAACAACCAGTTCAATCACCAGCTTTCCCAAACTGCTAGCAGCCCTCCCAGCTCCTCAAACCATCTTCCCCACTGAGGATGTTAAAACACCACGSTGCCCACCCTCGTACCCAACACAGCAGCATTTCCTTACCAGACGCCCCATCCAGGGATCCCCACTGCCTGGATAATGCTGATCACCAGCTGGGCCATGAAGGTGAAGAAGAAGGCCATGAAGCTGAAGGAACTGTCTGTCCTGCAAGAGAAGGCTCAGTCATTCCCTGCATCTCCATCCCTGCTGCACTCCAACGTAAGGGAGATGCTGCCATGTGTCAGACCTGGCTGTGGTTTAGGAGGGTGATGAAAAGCAAAATTTAAGGCAAAGGAGGAACTGCAAGAGGCTGGAGGTGGTCAAGGGGCACCTGGGAAAGCCACAGGGTACCAGACCCTCCCCATGGTTCAGTCAGCTGGGCTTGTGGACATCTGTGTGGGGACATGGCTCTCAGCTCACACCACCCCACATGGGGCATAAATATACCCCCAGTTCTCTACGTTTGGGGCTTGACCTCAGCACCATGGATAATACATACAAACACCTCGAGGACCAGTGGGAAGGTATAGAAGATGCCTCAGGGATGAAAGGAAAAGTGGAACTCCAACCACATCTTCACCACTCTCCCCCACACTGCACAGAGGCACACCGAGAGTGTCCTTACATCACCTGATTGGGGGTCTGACCCTCAGGAAATCCCAAAAACCCTTGTTTTGAAGGTTAGAAAGTAAAGCTAAGAAAGGGCTGCACAGAAAGGAGTTCCCTCAATTATTTAGGCAATGCCCCAAGCTAAACACTGACCATTTACGAAGGAAAACAAGGCAAAAGGAAACCAGGCTCAGGTGCGACCACTTACTTGAAAGCTTTGTAAATAGGTCTAAACCAGCAGACATAGGAGCAGGGCGTAAAGAGAATGAGCCAGAGAATTGCCAGTCCAAAATTTACAGCTCCGCCGCCTCCAATGAGCCACGCGAGGCAGCCCACGAGATTCACCGCCAAGGTGATGCTGTTCACTGCAAACACACACACACACAGAGCAGAGTAGCGCGGACGCAAGGGTGGCACYGGGACACCGAGGACCCCGACCCCAGGGATGCAGCCTCAGAGTCTTGCCCTAGCTGGACTACCCTTAAATTAAGCTGGGAGCACATTCTGAGGCTGGCTGGGCTAAAGGGGGTG